GCTGTATGTGTGTGTGTGTGTGTGTGTGTGTGTGTGTGTGTGAGTGAGTGAGTGAGGGAGGGAGAGAGAGTGTGTGTGTGAGTGTATGTGTCTGTTTGTTTGTGTATGTGTCTGATTGTGTGTGTGTGAGTGTGTGTGTGTGTGTGTGTGTGAGTCTGTGAGTTCAGTGACACCGACTCCATCAACACTTGTCTGAGGTTTATTTGACACTTTACAGCAGATCGACACACGTACATTCAGACTGACTCGGTCACAGTCATAAATACAGGTTCATATGAGGAGGAACCAAGCGCTGGAGCGTCTCATTGGGCCCCGTGCCCTTCTGCACGGCCGGTGAAGATCTGGATCCGCGGCGCGGCCCTGAGCCGTTGCGAAGCCGTCATGAGCTCATGAGGAGAGCGCTGATTGGAGCGTCAGGCATCCAATCAGAGCTCACGATGCGGGTCCGTCGGCCTCCAGCTCGTCTGTGATCATCAGTGAGAGCTCAGTGAAGCTCGGCCGCTCATCTGGTTTCTGAGAAACACACACACACACACACACGCACATCACGATCACAACATTAGCATTTGTGTGTGGGAGACAAAAGGGAAACATTGTACTGTACGTACATGCGCGATCCAAAGAAGTTACGCTTAAATCTCCATCGTTATTCAAACAGCGACTAAATTATATAGAGAAATCGAACAAAGCTTTCTCATTCTCACTAATTCAAGATTTTATATGAATTAATCTCTGAAGGGAACCGACTGTCCTCAGAAAAGTGTCGACGGCGTTTTAATTTTATCTGATCGAGTCGCGTTTATGAGCGCAGCGCTGCTTTGTTTACTGCCGTTACCGGGGAAACCGCTGTATTTCTGCCGCTCTAAAGCGCCTCCTGCTGGCAGAGAATGAATGTGCATTTTCAATAAGCCCGTCTGCTGTTTTTGTTCAGACCCGTGCAAAAATCCAGTTTTAAATGAACAATTTATACTTCTGAGGAATTAATGATGAGGAAAATACAGTGTGTGAGAGTGAGGGAGGGAGAGAGAGTGTGTGTGTGTGAGTGTATGTGTCTGATTGTGTGTGTGTGAGTGAGGGAGGGAGGGAGAGAGAGTGTGTGTGTACTGTATGTGTTTGTGTGAGTGTATGTGTGTGTGTGTGTGTGAGTGAGTGAGTGAGGGGGGAAAAGTTTAGTTTAACATTAAAAAACTGTCAGAATATATTACTATTTAGCAGTCTTACGACTCAATGCTACTACTGCTAATAAATATGAATAAATCTTTATTTTTAAAGGAATAATCACATCTGTTTTCTTTTTAATTTTAACAGTAAACCTCTGTTATGCAGCACTTTGTTTGCCAAAAAATAAAAGGGTTTCATTTTCATTTGATTAGGAAAAATTAAATTAATGTTTTATGCCTTCATCTGATTACCAGAAAAATTAAGAACATTTTATAAGGCCCTATTATTGTTTAAAAAAGGACCTTATACAAAAAAAAAGAATAGGTTTAAAATACAGGCATGTGGTTCTTCATTTCTTTTTATTAATTCACCATTTGTAAACTGATGTTTACTGTTCATTTTTTAGAAATATTAATAGTATTTGCATTAAAACTATATTCACTGAATGTAATCAAAAAATCGAGAATCGAATCGAGAGCTTGCGAATCGAAATCGAATCGAATCGGGATATCTGAATCGATACCCAGCCCTAATTATAATGTACATGAAAAATGTAGAAACACTGGACACAGCTATGGGGCACCATTGAGCCGCGGCATCACAACAAAAAAAGAAATCAAGCTTGATTCAGGTAAATGTGTGCAAATGTATAGGGCCCCATTGGTTATAATATGCGGCGGCGTTTAAAAAAAATGCGTAAAAATAAATATGCAGCATGAGCAGATCTAAATTTAACGCCGCAATGACACTTTTCATTTCACTTTCACTTGAGTCAGTTTCACTAAAATGACAATTAGGGAGAGAGAGAGAGGGTAATCCATCAGGAGTCCAAATTAGGAAAAAAGAAGAGGGGGAATGTGCAAAGATAAACAGTATCTAAACTCATCTCGCTAATATATCACTTATGCTATGCAATTACACGTAGGGCAACAGCATTCCTTTGTCTGAAGAACTAGCTTACATAACCAGACAGAAAAATGTGATTTTGTAACAATGTAATTTTTTTAAACAAACGTAACACTCACTTTATTGATGTTTTTGCTGTACAGTTGTGAATTTTTTTTAATTTGCCTAAATTTGTAATTTTATATTATTATACGGATCATCAGGAGAGCGTGCCTAATGTGAGTGAGGCTGTGAAGGACTCAGCTGTTACCTCCATCCAGCACGTCTTCATGACGCTGTAGATGTGCGGAGCCGCTTTCTTGGGCCGGTAGAGCCGGTGTCCCTGAGTGACCATCATCACCACCTCGTGGTTCTGATTGTGTTCGAACGGCATCTTCCCCTCCGTGAACACCTCCCACATCAGCACACCTGAGGAGCACAGCACCATCATCATCTTCATCATCATCGGTGCGCTCATTCAGCGTCACAAGCTGATCTACACACCGAACGACCAGACGTCAGATTTGCTGCTGTATTTGCAGAAGTTGAAGACTTCCGGCGCGGACCACTTGACGGGGAACTTGGCTCCGGAGGAACTCCAGTACTGATCGTCCAGAACGTACCTGCAGGACAACACACGCTGCTGTTTTGAGCTGTTCTGATCCTTATGAGGCCCTACCGTTTATTTGAATAGTTATTTCAACCCGATTCTCAGTGGAAAACAAGTATGACAGACGCGAGTTATAAAGCAGACGTTCAGATACCTGGTCATCCCGAAGTCTGAGACCTTCACCACCAGCGAGCTGTTGACCAGGCAGTTTCTGGCCGCCTGAGAAACACCAGAGCAGCGGAAATCATCCAAGAGCAGCAAATCAGCATATTAGAATGATTTCTGAAGATCATGTGACACTGAAGACTGGAGTAATGATGCTGAAAATTCAGCTTTGATCACAGAAATACATTACAGTTTAACAGATATTCACATAGACAACAGCTGTTTTAAATAGACACTGACAGCTTCGTTTGGTTTAGTGTGTGTGTGAGAGTGAACACACACACACACACACGCACATCACGATCACAACATTAGCATTTGTGTGTGGGAGACAAAAGGGAAACATTGTACTGTACGTACATGCGCGATCCAAAGAAGTTACGCTTAAATCTCCATCGTTATTCAAACAGCGACTAAATTATATAGAGAAATCGAACAAAGCTTTCTCATTCTCACTAATTCAAGATTTTATATGAATTAATCTCTGAAGGGAACCGACTGTCCTCAGAAAAGTGTCGACGGCGTTTTAATTTTATCTGATCGAGTCGCGTTTATGAGCGCAGCGCTGCTTTGTTTACTGCCGTTACCGGGGAAACCGCTGTATTTCTGCCGCTCTAAAGCGCCTCCTGCTGGCAGAGAATGAATGTGCATTTTCAATAAGCCCGTCTGCTGTTTTTGTTCAGACCCGTGCAAAAATCCAGTTTTAAATGAACAATTTATACTTCTGAGTCATAAAGTCAGTTTAAAGGCTCAATTGTGAGGTTTATCATTTTATCTTTTATTTTTGTAAAAACCTGTATCTCAAATGTAAATCAATTGGTTTTTTGCGTTCTACAACACGAAAGAAAGCCATTATAATTAGGGCTGGGCAAAAAAATCATTTTTTCGATTAATCGCTTTTTTAAATGATGTCGATTCGATATCGATTCTCAAAAGCCGCGAATCGATATTTTCCGGGATTTATTTCAGCACACATTTAAAACGAGATCTGATTAACGACAGAAATACATTACAGTTTAACAGATATTCACATAGACAACAGCTGTTTTAAATAGACACTGACAGCTTCGTTTGGTTTAGTGTGTGTGTGAGAGTGAGTGTGTGTGTGTGTGTGTGAGAGTGAGTGTGTGTGTGTGTGTGTGAGAGAGAGTGAGTGTGTGTGTGTGTGTTTTCTGACCAGGTCTCTGTGGATGAAGCCGTTCTGCTCCAGATGCTGCATGCCCTGGCTGACATCGTGGCAGATTCCCAGCAGGTCCTGTGATCCCAGTGTTCCTCTGCGCTGACGCAGGTAGTTGAGCAGGCAGCCCAGCTCCATGAACTCCGTCACCAGGTAAATGGGCTTC